AACTCCGGACCTATCGCATGAAAGGTGTGTGCTACCATTGTGCCAACCAGCTGATACCAGGACTGAACCGAATTGTTAATTCATGTATTTTTGGATGTTGTCCCGACTGACTGACTCGCCACAAACCTACTACACTGGATGAATAATTCACACCCGTCTCTCGGGCACTTGTGAGTAGTGGTATCAGGATGATCAGGTGGATCACGATAAACCGGACAGGGTAGTCCATAAGTTGGGTGGAGGTCTCACACGGACTGAACCAGAACTTGTATTTTATATTGCACACACACACACACACACACATGTACATTTTTGGGATTGCAATGAAAGACAAAAACCAGAGACAATAATTGACTCACTGATCGGAATTTCGCTGACTGCATGCGGTACGCCGCAAGAGCGGATTGTAGGCCGGAATAGCCACATCGTAGGTAGCCCGATACGTAGCTCGAGTGTGCCCACCACCGACCAGGATGGCCTGTCCGGAAAAAAGCAACTCTTTTCCGGGAAGTATGTTAAACAACAGATGATTTACACCATTGTTCCATCTTCCGGAAAGAGTCGCGGAATCCAAAGAGAAAATAAAACCAGAAGTGAAAAATGGTAGGAAGATAACCAGGAATCAAAACAAAGACCTGACAGGCACTTCTTTTGATCACTCACAGAAGGGGTTAACAGCGTGATCGATAGGACATACTGCTCCAGGACTTGAAGTGACAAATCACAAAGACATCACTGGTATAGGCATGGGATTGAGCTGGGTCACAATGAAGCTGTCCAATGACATGCACTGGTGATTCTCGATAGAGATCAGTGAATTCTTTATCAGCGTAATTACTGATAGAAGGAATAAACCCCTAAGTCACACTGATTTTTATTTATTTTATTTCACACTTGTCTGAGGCTACACAGTATGCCAAGCAAATCATGGTACAATAATCTTTATGAACAAAAGAACAACGTTCCATGATTGGTTTGTGGGCCGAATACTGCCAGGTTGCCCAGGCCAAGGCAGGTGAATTTGCTTCGGGAATCCATAACCAGAGTCTTTGGGTAGCCAAAGCCTGACCCGCAAGACAGCGGGGCAGTGTGCGAAAACCGCAATCCATTTGAGGCCGGTGTCCAGTTCATCGGATCATACGCCCTTTGGACGGGGTCAAATGTCCAAGGTGCTCAATTGAGCCGGTGACCGTTGCCACAACCGAAAAGGTGTGGGTGTGGTTCGTACGCCTCCTCTTGGTTGGTTTGGAATCAGTCACACGGATCTACCAATGTTTGATGATGGAAACGGGGGAAGTAAACTGCAAAACTTGAAGGTGATCTCGTTAAGATGGCATTACATCGGTCGGGACGACAGGTCCCGATCAACCGCAAGCAACTGTGGTCCAATGGCTCATGATAAACCTCAATGAAAGTACGTAAAAACAAACCGGATAATTGAAAGAACGCCCCGATGGTAGATGCGCGTTTACCGTAGTTACCATTTTGAAAACAGGAATTTGCTCTACGAGGTCTTCATTTTTGACAGTTGAGAGAAACAGCCAGTCACGTTCTTTTGAGCAATACAAACATACTACTCACAACAGTAGTAACGGTAGTACGTTGAACCGGTGTGTCTAATAGTAGAACAGTGCGATTGCTCCATCGTTCCACATTTTCTTGTCCCTCTCACCTGTGACCTTGGTCAAGTAAATTCCCTCTAACCTTGTTTGCCATCTGATTGGATCATTTTCAGCAATTTGCGGCACTTAACCCCCCCCCCACACACACACACACCAACACGAGACTATCTGATTACTGGTTTGTACTTTTTGTAATGCTCATGTCACACCCAGTCCATCTGCGAGATGATGGCACGCCTTCTGTACGGTCGAAATTCACTGGGCCTGTCTAAGACTCGCTGCTGTAAACAAGGTGTGGTTTCTCGCTCGAGTTAGCTGGCAAAGCGCCAGGCCCCTAGTTGCGGCTGAATCATCTGACCGACCGATAAATGAACCCGATCGGTCATGTGATTTTCTGACCGGCATAAGAGGAGCATAAGTTCTGAATCCGATACTGCTCAAGTGTTGGCAGAGAATCCCCGCAGGAGAATCAGTTGTGGAACAATGCGCCATGTGGAAAATTTTGAATGGAAAAGGTACAAGCGATGATGACACTGGACCAACGCTGGACTCGTCTAAGATACACGCACGCACGCGGGTTCGGTAAACAGACAATCATAATAAAACTTTGAGCTTGTCTTGAGTACGGACTACAATATTCAGTGTAGGCCCACGCAGAACTTCTGAGTGTTCATTTCCCCAACTAGTTGTTTTCGCGTTAAAAAAAGAAATTGTGAAAACAATAGTTTTGTAAAAAAAAACTTACTGTGGAGACCGGTTGATCAAGCGCAGATCCTTATCTACTTCACCTCGACGGGCGTTCAACAGATCGAGATCGGGCACAAAAACACATGCCTCAGAAAGATCACGAACCGCGTAACGACTTGTACGTACCGCCTGGATGAGTGCAGCAAACTGCCTGGTCACAGGACGTGACGACGCATCGGGAACATACACATAAACACCGATTCGATTTAACGGTCGTCCCGGATACTCCTTAGCACATTGGGATGCGTCAAAACAGGTATGGTAGGTACATTGGGCAGGTGCCCGACTGGGTAGTGTAGCATGGGAGGCGAAAGACGCATGGCGACCACCCGAGGTAAGCGAGTGATAAACCGGACGAAACGAGCACCAGGTCAGATAGACAAGGAACAGGGAAAGACAAACAACACCGAGTCGAATCCACGGGCGCATATTGCCTGATTCAGAGCCATTTCTATCCTTCAATTTCAAGTGGAATATCTGAAAGCATTTGACACCTCTTGTGTCAAATGGCAGTCCTCTAAAATAAATAAAAATAAAATGATAAAAAATAAATAAATAAATAAAGACATCGGTCAGATTAAAACCCACATGCGAACGAAACCTTAGATTTTGGTCACAATACTCCACCAGGTTTTCACGTTTAGATATCCACTGCATTTAGAGGCATAAATTAGTATACATGCTCATTACAATGAGGCATTTTCGCTGAAATAAACAAGAATTCACTAGATAACCACGGAAACTAAACAAACTATCGTAACCCCACCAATCGACAGCTGGTACAGTTCATGCCCTACCAAGGTGCGAGTGACATCCATGTGGATCGAACT